TGTATCAACCCATAAATCTTGTGCTATCCTAGCCTTGCGGATCTGAAATCGAGAAATAAAAATAAGATAAGTATTTTTTCGAAGTAATCTGGCTTTCTCCTCCCTTAGCCAATCATTAGTAGCTCTGATATCTTCATCATAGGATGGGAAATCTGGCATAAAATCTTCCTCCTCATCTATATTAACCCCTAAATCACCTAAAATCTCATCATCGAATTCTAAACGAGAATTTGACATTTCAGGAGGAGGTGAAGGACTTCCACTATATATGACTCGTGTCAATTCTTGAACCTTTTTTTCCGCAGTATTAGCAAGGCTTATAGCCTTTAAAGTTTTCTCATGCTTTTTCTCTAATAATCGGTGAACCTCTTAGGGGAATAAGTTTTCTTTTGGCTCTACTGGAGGTAGTATTAAAGATGAAATACTAGCTGATAAATCATTATCAAATTGCTCACTCAAATTGGGATGATACCCAATAGATTGATCGAATTCTTCTTGTAATGTTCTAATAGAAATTCTCTTACTAGAAGAGCCACTAGAAAATAACCAAGGTTTTTCTGTTATTCTGGCAAGATCCTCTTGTAATATCCCATTTAGGGTTTCTGTATTTTCCAAAGCATTCTGGGTATCTTGTAATTCTTTATCACGCTCAGCTATTGTTCTTTCACCTTGTAAAAGATTGTTTTCAAGATTTTTTAACCAATCTTAAACTCTGCGTAAATTTATTTCATTATCAGCAGTACGTCCTACTCATTTTAAACAGTTTACTCAGATAGTAGCATGATAATTAATTTTTTCACATTCATCTATTCCATATGTATAGTCTTGTATTCCTGATGCACCTGATGAACTAGAAGCTATTTTGCTCGATAAAGGCTGATTATAATCTGATTGCCTTAATGATGAGGATGATGAGGACGATGAAAAATCTCTTGTTAATGGTATTGAAGGATTCTTCTAGGATCAGGTATATTACTTGATGAGGCCATGATAAGATCACTAATCCTATTTTTTAGCCGAAATATCTCTTCATGAAGCTTAGATAATTCTTCTGATATCTGATCTTCTCGAAAAGTTATAAATAGCAATCTACACTCTGCAATCTTTTTCAGATTATGGATTTTTATCTCTAACATCGTTTCTGGCTTTTAAGATCAAATATCTCCCGCTCTGAGATCTCTTTTATTTTATATAATCGAGATATCTCTAGCTCATTATGATATAAATCACGCTTTTGTGGATTGTATCCGACTCTCATATATTTTATTTTCAGACATTAGTGCTATTCTATCTTTTTTTTATAGATAGTTCTATCTTTTGAGAGATGAGAAAAGGATGGGTAAAGAAGCAAAGGTTCCTATAATCCAAATAGATCCTGATGAGACCCAGAAAATTGAAAAAAATATTATATTGCGTGATATATATTATCACCCAACTAGGTATTATTCTAATCCTAAATTCTTAAGAGATACATGTAAAAAAGAAGGGCATCATTTCTGCCTAAAATAATGCTATGATTTTTTAGAATGGCAACATATATACCAAATACATAAAACTCCTCTGAAGAATATTTCTAGGTGTAGCTATAGCCAAATAACCCGCCTAAATTGTGTACACTAATGTGATTTGCTATTCCTTATATATGATCATTATAAGCGTAAAAAATATATAGCAGTACTTAATATAATAGACTGCGCTTCCCGATATAAGACTTCTATTTTACTCACGTTGAAAAAGAGTTCAGAAGTTGCTAGAGTATTCAGAAAAAAATATGATGATCCTAATAATCCACTTGTATGGTCAGAGCTTCTACAATGTGATGAGGGTCGTGAATTTATAGGGAAGACTTCTCAATTGATGAAGGAGCATAATGTTACCATTCGAGTGATTGATGCATATTCTTATCAAGAAGTAACTTTTGCAGAACGTTTTAACAAGACACTCACAAAAATACTTTATAAAATCCAAGATGCTGTTGAATCTATATATCTTAATTCGAAATTAATAAAAGCATGGATTAGACATTTGCCTATGGTTATCGATTATCTAAATAATTATCCTATACGTCTCATTCGAGAACTAGGGACTAAGAAATAGGGTTTACACCTATAAAAGCTATCATGTTAGAAAAAGTGGAATCGAGACCATCCACAAAATATAAGTATCTAGTTAGAAAAGATGAAATAACGTTAAAGAAAGGTGATACTGTTTGATATCTTCTTGCTATTGCAGAATGGGAAGGAGGAATGGAAAATCAAAAGAGAACCACTGATCCCACATACTCACCTTCTATTCATAAAATTTGAAAAATTGTTATCATAAAGAATGAGCCAGTTTTATATTATCTTGGAAGTGATGATGATGAATATGCTCCAAAGCGAGGATTTGTGCGAGAGGAACTCATGTTAATAGTGGATCCAGCAAAGGTTGGGTATCCACCTCAAAGTATATTATCTGTAAATTTCGTTCATACTTCTCCTATCAATAGTAAGATAAACTAAGCCATTGGTTATGCTCAAAGATGTGGTGGTCAATGTCTAGGAAAGACTGGAGAAATAAATGGACATAATGTATATCTTTGATCTTGTGAGGATGGTGCATACCAGTGGGAGTATCCATTAAAATACATCATGAAAAAATTTGAGTGGTGCCCTCTTTGTCATCATACTAGCGAAAGAACTGTACAATTTATTTTTGTGGATCTGTTAGGCAAGAAATTTCCATCACGCAGGCCGAATTTTTTGGATGGAATGCAACTCGATGGGTATAACGAAGAACTACAATTAGCATTTGAATTCCATGGTCGGTAACACTATAGTCTAAATTCAATGTTTCATAGGAGAGGCCAGATAGATTTGGATGAACAGAGAATGCGCGATCAGAAG